CGCCACCTGCGGGGCTCTGGGCTCCACGGGGCTTCGCCGCTTCCCGCCATGAGCCACAGCGCTCCCTCAGCGCGGGCGGCCTCGCCTGGGCACCAGGGAGGAGCAGAGGGAGCGGCGAGGCAGCCAGTGCTGAAAAAGGGCCATCAAGAGACCCTGCGGGTTTAAAACAGGCCCTGAGACACTCACGCATGGGGTTAATGGGCTGTGCAAAGACCTGTGCCCCTGGGCAGGAAAGGAGGAGGAATCCTTCCAGCACTCACAGCCCCATCCACAGGGGATCCGGCTGCACTGAACAAAAACCTGCTATTGTCAGAGGGAAACAGGCTCCAAACCAACCCAGTCCTAAAACTCAGAGCGACAGACCCCGTTCCCTTCTCAGCTCCTGTGTGGTGTGGTATTTTTAGTGCACTTCTGGCTACAGAAAGACAGGCGTTCTGCCTTTGTTGTTGGATGGCGTTCAACAAGGCCTCGCTCTAGCTGGAATTTTAACCCAGCTTGACTGATGGAAAGCACAGACAGAGGAAAATGTGGTTTGACTAGACTTGTTAAAAAAAAAAAAAAAGCCTAATCCACACCTCTCACTTATTTTCGTATCGGAGGGTTTTTGTCCACTTTGCTGTTCAAAGAGCAATAGACAGGCAGAGGAATCCAAAAATCTGCCAGGAAGCCTAAAACGTCCACAGAAAACCCGAAAAAGAATGGTTCAACTGAAAGTACACGTTTTCTGTAGAAATAGCCCAGTTCTTAAAAGCAGCTCCCACTCAGACATGGAAGGGCACACATGCAGCTCAAATCCTCCCAAGTCTTTTACAACAGCTACAGCTCACAGACAGCAGAGCAAGAATTCCTACAGCCTACAGAAAGGCAAAGGCAGCTCTAGAAAGATCTCAGCTAACCACTAACGTTCTAAGCTGTGGAGAATCCAGTTTAATTTTGCCTACTATCCTCTGCCTTGATTTACAGACAAGTTACAAGAAGTCTTGCTGGATTACAGATATTTTCACAGATCAGCTCCAACCTAGCCTGTCATCATGAATGCTTCCAACGTGCTATCCCCAAGACAGTGCCAGTAAGTCAGGCATCAAAGTTTTTATGACTTCTCCTGTTAGCATGAGACCATATTTCCTGAAACGACCAGAAACCTCCCCCTGACTTCAGGCTTCCACAGTAACAGCTCCAGCACAGCCACGTGCAGGTCACAGCTTTGGCATCGGCCCAGCAGAAGCAGAGGACAGTCAAACTCATGCACTATTCACAGCCATTTAGCATGGCCTTAAAAATAAATAGAAGTTTTAACCTATTTTTTATAGAAATATGAACTTTGTTTTAACTTCTTGGCCATTTGATCCTCAACTCTTAAAACACACAGAGCATTTCTGAGCCCTAACAGCATATGGGTGTTCGCTAATAAAACTTCTCTTAAATCCTAGTCTTGAGCCTATTTGTAGAACTAGAATTTAACAGCCCTCCTGAGACATGTGTTGTAATTTGCATCACTTCTACATTTTAAGGAAGTTCAAGCAGCATTTTCTTCTCACAAGAAGTGGTGTGCAAAAAAAAATAAAAGCCTTTTGATATTGTCAGCTACTCAGCTGTAAAACCCAGAGCAAGTAAAACATTAGAACCTGGGTGAACAAATCCAGCAATCTGCATAGGTGAGAGAATCTCAAATATTTCCTGTTCCAATTAGTTATTAGTTAATTATTAGTGCAGAGTTTGAACACACTTTCAAAGGATGCCAAAAGTGTTTTAAAGCTTTGACTTGCAGCCTGTTCACCCACAGCTGAGCCTTGCCAAGCAGAGCACACAGAGTGGATAAATCAAATGATACTCAGTCAGTGACCATCTGATACCAGCTCCTCACCTCAGCTTCAAGCACATCTTTGTCATCCCTTCCTCAAATGGCTAAAGGATGTGACCAGCTCAGGACAATACATAAAAAACTCTTTTGCTACAGTAATAATCCCTCAGACAAGTGTGATGAGGGCACAAATGTGATGAGGACGAATGTGGGCAGTCCAGCCACGCTCTGCCTGTTTGTTGGAACTACTGTCCTCTCCCTTGGCCAGAGCATCCCCTGAAGGGGCTCCAGCACTGGCTGCAGCCCCTCCTGCCACAGCCTGCTCAAATGTCCCCTCTGGTACAACTTGGCTCCTCATCTCTCAGGACCAAGTCAGGCAGAGGCAGCAACACATCCAGTGCTCAGTTCTCTGCGGCAAGGGGTTGGAGCTTTTCACCCTTCTCCAAGCAAGGGGCTGTAGCTCTTTGCCCCCCTCCCAGCAGGGCTTACCCTCTATTTTTAACAGGAACAGCAAAACCAGAGAGACTTGCACTCACCTCTTCTCCAGAGGATTTCTAAGGAAGAAAAGAGCCTCATGCTTCTCGCCTTCTGCGTCTGCTCCTTCCACAAGGTCCTTGGAGCCAGCTCAGGGCAGGCAGCCCCCAGCTCATCCCTGCAGGCTGCCAGTGCTGCTCCTCCCCACGGCCCAGTGCTGGCCAAGGGGGGCCTGCATCAAGCCTTGAAGGGCTGCAGCTGCACATCTCCCTTCCCCAGGCCCAGCTTGCCCCCTGTGGCTAGGGGGAAGTGCCCTGGCCACTGGCTCTCACCTGGTGGCCCACTAACCAAAGGGACAGCCAGGCTCCCTTGTGCAAGGTCGGTGCTTAAGATGGATGCCTCACAAAACAGCCTCCTGGAGAAGAAATACTGCTTTTACCTAGGAAAAACTGTTTCTTCAAGGATTTGCTGGAAAAAGGAGCTGTGAGAGCAGCCGTGTATCGCCTGCAGGTAAGTCTCCCTGTTCCAAACCTCGAGGGTGTGAAGCTGGAACGTCAAGACAACAAACCAGGGCACTCAGGTTTGAGATGGGGATGTTCCAAGTTAAAGGTCTGCCCTGGTTTTGAAGCCTCTGGAGTCTGGCAGGCACCAGACCTTGAGTGCTGAGGTCCAGAAAGTCCCAGCTCCAGGCTGGTACATGTTTATTGCCAAGCAGGGCCAGTGAGTAGCAGAGCTGAGGAGTTCAGTGGCTTTCCTGCTCCACTGGCCCCTGAGCTCACAGAGGAGATCACCAAGAGCAGGCATCAGGACAATAGTGCTGATTTCCTGCCAACATTAACACAAAACTTGCTGCCAAAGCCAAGCAAGCAGCAGCTCTAGGTCAGCAGACACAGAATGGCCAAAGCAGGTTCCCCAGCACCTGTTAATCACACTGCCCTGCTTCAGAACTGGAAAACATCAATTAGTGAGCTATGGGAACACTGAGACCTTGTAAGCAAGTGTGAATGCAGAGGAGCAGCCTTTATCACAGCTGCCTGAGAAGCACAGCAGGTAGGAACTACAGGCTACCTTCCAAAATAGAAATGTTCACTGTATTCCCTCAACTCCTGTCAGCAAGGACCAAACCATGGATCTGAACTGACAGCAGGGTTACTGCTCACTGAACAGCCAGCCCCAAAGAAAGCCAGTTCTTGTTCACTCCAAAAACACCCTCAAGCTACAGAGGAGTGGTTGGTAGTGCTGCTGAATGAATCAAGATGTGCTGCAGTGCTGGATGCTGGCCTCACGTGCCAAAGCCCAACACATTCCTGCCCTTCCTTGTCCAAACTCTTTTGTTTTTTAATAAAGACACCAACCATTAAGATGTGGGACAATTTTTACATTTCTTTGAATGGAAACTCTGTGGCTGCTCCAAGCTCATAACATCCCAGTGTGCTGCACAGTGCTCCACTCAGCTCTGCAGTCACTTGGTAAGAAAACCTTCACAGACCATCTCCTGGCAGCTTCACCATGCTTCTCCTAATACAAACACTTTAAAAATGCCTCTGAGGCTTTCCCTTCCCTCCAGCTCTCACCCCTCAAGTGAAAGTCTTTTAACTAGTCCTTGTGAAGGACAGACCCATCCCTTGTTAGTTCAAGTTCACTGATTGGCTTTAAAGTCATTTCTTCCGCTTCTGCTTTATATCTTTAGTCCTCTTAAATTTCTTCTGTTGCTTTGGTCCTCTTGCTGTTTCTAACTTTCTCTTCTCACTGGAAAACAGGAACAAAATATATGTTAAAAATATGCTAGATACAGCTGGGAGACTTTTATTGTACAAGGGAGTTGAGGGTCTACACAGAAATGTGGTCGGGAGCAAATACTTCCAATTTCTTGGGTCATTTAAACTGGTGCTAGAGAAAGCACAAACAAGAGTATGACCTAGATTTTCTTGTGTCTTCAGATTCTCTAACCCAGCTGGAATCCCTTAAGATCTTGATTTTTAGCTCTTGTCATTGCTTTTCAAGACTTTAAGTTACGTGTCCTAAAGGCAACACATAGGGCATCTGGAATTTAGAGTACCTAGCAAAAATATTACTGCTGGCAGCTTTTAAGTATACAATTCTGTTCCTGCACTGGATTCTGACTGCAGCAAACACAACACAGCTCCAGTCTTTATAAGCACTGACAAGATTCTCTCATTCCTGTCAGGCCTCTGGAAACTTGCAGCTTCCAGCAATCATGGACAAAACTATGAATATACAAAAGGTGGAACAGAGATTACATAATTTGAACTAATAAAGATGAGGAAAGACTGCATATTCAAAAAATAGAATATGGATTAAAAGGAAGGAACTGCAGAAATGGAGGCTCAATATTTTGCAGGCTTAAGGTCACATTTGAAAGAACTCTTCCTCCCTGAATTTACATGTTCTCCAGTGGGACTGTCAGAGGTTCCTACAGTGAGAGCTCCCAGAGCAAATGGGACAGTTATGTGGAATGAGTTCTGCCTTTAAAAGCAACCCAAGGAAGGAACAGCACCAACTGCTGTGCATGAGCAGGATCAAGTCTTAACATGTCAAGACACAGAAGTTACCATAAGGAAGAGAGTTACACAAAGACAAGACTTTACTCCAGAGCAACACAGAACACACAGCAGCAGAGTCCCCATTAGAAGAACCACTGAGTACCCAGCAGAGCTCCCAGCTGCTCACACCCCAGGAAAATTTGGAATGTAGGAGGAACTCTGAGCTCACTTAACCTTTTCAAGCTGACAATGGAAGTGTTCTGTCCTGCTTTGCTCAGCACCTGCTCCCACTCTTCGTCATCACCCCGGATAATGTATCTAAGTGAAAAAGGCAACAGAAAATCCAAGCAAAATAAGTAAAATTGCTAGCACAAAACATTAAAAATAAAGTCATTATACTGTCAGGCACACACCACTCTCCAAACAAAGCCACTGCGTCAGCACCCACTCCAGTCAGGATCTGGAAACACACAAGTGGGCAGGCAAAGGACACAACAGCTGGTCACGACTCTGGCAGCAGACGCAGTCCCAGCTAGGTCACTAGCAACCAACAACTGTCCCCATCCAAAGCTGGTCAGTGTCCAGTGCAGTTCTCTCAGGAGCCCCTGTTGTAAACATCCCAAAACTGCCCTGTGAAAGCCCCTCATCAGGAGAGCAGAGTGTTGGGAGAGTACATCTGTTATGGAAGCAAAAAAACAGGGCCAAAAGGTTCTGCTTTCCACAGCACGGGGGTATGCTCGTCCTCTGCCCACCAGATTTCTTCAAAGATAACCCTTCAATGCCTACAGCTTTAAGGCTGACAACCACAGGCATATCTACATTCACTACAGAGATTTCTTTAGAAAAGCTTGAGGGCTTTTTTTTTTCTTCTCCCCTTTCCAAAGAAGAGAAGGATGGTTGTGGTATAAAGGAAGAGGATGCAAAAAGCAACAGCTTATAATGTTAGCTAAATTCACAGCTGCTCTTAGACCAGCAGTAACCTTCAATGGCAAAGCTCTTCTGCACCAATCCTGAAAAAAAATGGAAGACCTGCAGCTTCCTTTTGAAAAGAGAAATTGAGACAACAATTGCTATTCAAATAAGCTCATGTTCTGTGCCTCTTGTCTGGGTGTTCAAGTACCCTGGAAATGACATAGAAATTTAACTAGGCAAAGCAGCCCTATTGCAAAATGGAGTGGTTGCTCTCCACCCCAGGTTCTCAGAGGTTTAGAATAGACTAGCCTTTGTTCATACAAGGCTGAAAAATACTGGACAAAGCCTTTTCAAATCACCCACTCTGCCTCTTCTATTAGTTTTCTATAACCTGTATTGAAAGTGTTTAGAACAGATTTTTCTCTCTCTCCTCATGGAAGAGAACACAAATAATGGAGGAGAATGCAAATATGGCTTTCTGGGTGAAAACAAAGGAAACATAGTCCAAAATGACAAACAGGTATGTAACACTATCAACACTAAAAAACACTTCAAACTTTTTACAGCTCCTGATGATGCTGTTCTCCTAACGTGACCAACTTGCAAGTCACTTAAATCACATCTTGTCCTTCCTTCAAACAAGACAACCAAAGATTCAAAGAAGCTTTTATTTCTTCTCTCAGATTTAACAGAGGTTAACCTAGAGCCAAACCAGACAACTTTTCTGGGACATCAGTACAGTAAACAGGATTTAGGGGATAGAAAGTGGGAGGAAGAGAGAGAAGGGAGAGAATCAGTGGCACGTGGAACTCCTGTTGGTCCAGAGAGAGACATCTGCTGACACTTTGAGTAAATTGCTGGTTCAGCAG